ATATATATTTATATTTTCGCCCTTGAATAGTCACTTCATAGACATGCTAATAATTTCTGCTATAGTATTTGCTCTATATGCCTAAAAGATTCTTTTCCTTTTTCGTTTAGATAACGAAGCTTCTGGATTTTTTCAGCGATGATAAAATTTTCCTGGTGTGCGGCAGCGAGAAGATCACCGTCGACGATTTCTACCTGGACAGCGAAGGTCTTGTGGTCAGGTGCTTGCTGCTTCCTAGTATCGTAAAACTGGATTTTCAGAGCACAAATTCTTACAGTCTTCGCGACCCAGTGGCGATCGCCTATCGTACCATGCATCACCGTCAAAGACTGCCCACTGTCGAAAGTCCGTTGGCTACCCACTAAAACGTTTAGAAAACAAAGGTAATTCCGTGAATGATTAGATGTGTTTTATTTTGAGGGCAAATATTGATGAAACAATTGTTCTGCCAGAAATAGAAAGAATGTCTGTAATGCACTCGCAGTTAATTCGTGTATTTTTGTTAGTACGGATGAAATTAATGGCAAGTCTGGACTTTCCTGCTTATACGAAGGTACGAGGGATCAGCAATTTTTAGCGTAGACAGAACCAAGAAAACAGTGAGCAGGCTCTGATCGCGGAGAGTGCGCGACCCTTATTAACCCAGGTTACGAAGGAACCAGTATAACCTTCGATAACGGCAATACAATGAAGGACAGGTGGCTAGTTTTACGGATACTTCACTGCCATCCCCAATATTCCTTCTGTTTCATCCGAGTTTTGGACCGGCAACGGCGGAGTTGCTTACCTGAATCTTATTGCGTTTTTAGCACTACAATTTCAGGTGACATTCGAGTTATATAACTAGTACGCCATGTTTTGCGTGTCATTAAGTCAGCCTCACGTTTGTGGCTTACGAATTTCGTGCCGATTCTGTGTTACATGGAGGGAATATCTCTTCGTTTGGCTGTATGTCAAATAAGTTTACAGTTTTCAGTAGTAAGTCAAGGAGAAGTTTCGAAAGACAGTGACATAATTTATTATCAGAGTGAGTACCAAGTGGAAGCAGAATGTAAATGCTATGTATGGTTGTGTACAGTTGCAGGTAAGAACAAATATTAAATCTTCATTTGTAGTCTGTTCACCGATTGAGGGTTGACGGCACCGAACAACGCAATGTCTGCAGTTTGCTGCAAGCGGAATGGCATAATCAGGGTATGATTACCTACCGTTGCCCCTTGCAATGATTATACTACTCCGCTTGTAGCGAAACGCGTAGGCAGAAAAACTGCCAACATCTACGTTGTTTGGTGCCCTCAACCGTAAATCAGCGAAAAATCTGCAGGTTCCACAACTGGCTCAGAATCAGAAATGTTGTCATATTGAAACCTCGTTTATTGCCCAGAATTTTTAGTCAGTGGCGAATTCTGGATAGGTTTATGTACATCAGACATGTGCCGTTGTGTTCTGCATAGTTCTTGATTTTATGATGACGATGCATACTTCGATGAAGTTAATCTTCGAACCGCAGCGTCCCTCTGTCGTCGAAAGCTTGAAACGCTAATCATTCGCACTGACTTGAAGATGTTGGTAAACTTCTAACAGAACACGGCAGATTGCGTTCTTTAAGTAGTGCAATGCAACTTTAAGATAGACAGTTAAAACATTGGCCGACCATTCTGCGGTGTGATGTGGTGGCATGATCTCTAAGAAATCTTCCTCGAACACCGGAGGTTCCTGGTTCGATTCCGCTCGAGGGAAATCTTTGTTTGATTGACGAATTCCTTTAAGCAAGGAATTTACCACACATTGCTTCATACCAACACTTCTCAGGGTTGCTGAGAACAGATATGCTGGATCGTCCAACGCACGTCTGATATGTCCCTAGTTGAAGCCCTGGTCAGGAGCTCTCGTCCTTTCTTCCGAGGTTCATAATTGAGTACTATTCTGTCAGAAGGAAATAGGAGACCATACACTACGCTTGCCACGTGGCTATACACTCGGTCTTTAAAATTAAAGCACTGCTGGTTGATGGCATAGATACAGAGATCAGGACTGTGCCATCAACTTTATAAAACGAATGGCGTCAGGGGCAATCATGAAAGTTAAGGAAGACCGCCATTCCAGCGGTGACTAAATTTACTTCCTTTGTTTCGTAGTTAGCGGATATTACCATTGCCTATTTTCGATGCTCAGGCTTACCTGCTTCCTGCAGTTTGCCTCCACAGGCTTCCATATCTCGCTTTTAGTTCTTGGTGCCATTGAACACTTGCAACTCCTTGGGCACTTATCGGCACCAATCCATCACTACTGAAATCGATCCGTCAATCGCGCGATGTAGTCTGTCAACTTATATGGGCAAAGGGACCATTTTTGTTTATGCTTTCCATTTCATTTGATCTTGGTTAATGGTTTCGCTCTTAGCAAGCGTTTTGGACAGAGCGTCCGTCTGCCCGTTGCCCCATCCGAACGGGAAGCCGGTAAATGTTTTGTGAAGCTTCGCCCGCTCGAAGTGTTTCTTGATCAGTTCGCGCACACTTATCTCCTTCTCCAACGGTTTTTCCTCCGCACGGAGCGGTAATTCATCTCGCGGAGGAGTTAAGAAAGTGGGATAAAAAATAAGTGAAATGATATGATGTTTTAGTATTATTGTTAGGAGAGCTTAGGTTCATCAAGCTGGGTATGCGGAAAATCTTGGCAGAATGTGGTTATTGGGAAAATTATTTCTCCTGTTGTATGACCGTGCTTTTCACTAGCTGGTAATGTAAGAGTTCATGTAGCATTCCCTTCTTTCGGTTTCTCCAATTATGCATCGATGCCCTGTTTGAGATGTGAATTTGATAATGGAAGCGAGTAAAAACTTCTAATTGTTTTAACATGTCGACGAGTCAGTGTTCAGAAGATTTTACCTAGTCTGAGGATATGCTATGTATGGTTTTTACCTCTTGCAACAAAGTGGGAGGTGAATGCTTAGTTATCGGTATTTGGAAGTAACTGCTTTTAGCATTATTTGCTTTCTAGAAATCCAGCCATGCAGCTCTGTTCGTTACAGCCTGGATCCTAACTGGCATATATTAGTGGTATTTTTATGAGCCGTTTGTTTTCTCTTCGTTATGCTACTTTTCTGTTCGTAGGATTCCGGTAACCAACAGCTTTGCGACAGATTCGACTGCGGTATGTCATCCATTCATCTGTTGATTTGTTTTCTTTAAAGTTATTATTATTGATAAATTGTTGGATTTGAAGAGCTACAAGCAGATCAGTTTTTAACCAAACATCTTCAAGATCGTCACCAAGGTACTGGTGAACGGACATCAACCAAACTTGGACACTACACAGCCAAATTTGCAAGCAGGATTCAGAAATGGATTTAATACGATGGATCATCTTTGGAAGGTATAACAAGTTATTCAGGGAAACAAGGAATGCAGGCTTCCTTTCTGCCTGGAATTCCTCAATTTCGAGAAGATTTTCCACTTAGTCTACTTCCGTTTGATACTGAATTTTATGAGGAACCAAAAAGTCGAGGAAGGATCCATATACTTGATCGCCATGATTTGCAAGAATGCCACTCCTAGATTGAAGCTTTACGAAGGCATAAGCAGGTTCAAAATGGAAAAGGACATTCGACAGGGTGATATAATATTTCTGAAGTTATTAACAGCAACTTTAAACGGCATTTTCAAGAGACTCCTTTCGGAAAATCAGGGGTTGAACACTAATAGAAACTCTTAAGCTGCTGTTTACGGACGAAAATCGGATCCTTCTAAGGTCACCAAAAGAACTCCAACAAAGAATCTAAAATCTGCTCCAGCATCGAAGTAGTATTGAAAATGAACATGAAGATCTTATTTAAAAGGTATTTGACCCCAAGTCTTGTTGAAGTCATTTGGCTTAAAGAGGTGAAAAATTTGTATCTGGAAAACTTCATCTCTGCAGCAGATGAACCGACTTTGCGAAATCGGCAGAAGAACAGAAATGGCTTGGAGTATTTTTGGAAGATTATATGTTTCAGTCCGGGAAATAGGCCTTGTGTTAGAAACGGCAAGTTCTTGGTCATTGCATTCTTCCAAAAAAACACCTAGGTGCGAAGCAGACCCTCATCCTGAAAACTGTTTATAAACTGCAGACAACGCAGTGTAACATGGAAGGATGTTTGTTGAGAATAGCTAGCAAAAACGTTTACAAATAAATCGATAAGAGCCTAGCAGATCTATTCAGATTGCTTTGCTATCTTTGAAAAGCAGTTTTTCCAAAGCGAGTATCCCGTTCTGCGTGCTTTTGCACTTCATTGGCTTCATTTAAAATCTTGTGGGATAAGGAGGGACGTCCATGTGAAGTGTGTTCCTTTAAAGTATATTTTTAGCAAGATATTCCATCATTACTTTCAAATATAACTGTCATGTAATTAAATAATCTTTTATGACTTTAGCCTTGTCCTGTTATATTGGCTTCAAACGTCTTACGGCGGTGATAATGAAAACAGCAGTCTTTTTTATAGTTCATTTTGATATTAAGAACGATATTTGTTAATGACGCTAAATCTGCGCATTGACAGCCAATGTTAACTGCGAAGTTTACCAGATCGTTTTCTAAAAGTGCGCTCTCTGTCATCGAGTAAACTAGCAATTTTATCTGAATCAGGTCGAACTTATAAAGCTACTTACCGTTTGGCTGACTCCTCTTGAGAACTGTGGTAAAGCCGAAGGTTTGCCATTTAATTTAATGCCGCTTATGATGAACTGTAAACGGTCGGCAGCGATTTAAACATTGCAGGAATGATAGCTTTGCTCAGAGCAATGACACTTTGTGGTGCAGCATTTATTGTAATTAGACCGTCCAAGTTGAAACGGCTCATCGACGGTCGAAACGGAATGAATTTACGAACAAACCTGCCCTACCACCTATCTCAGAGTGCCTGCCTTTTTCTTACATGTTGAACGCTACCAAACTCCTGTGTTTCACCGCAAATCTACTTCAGTTTTGACTGGTTTGTAGCATTCGCATGAAACGCCGACAGTGTCATTTCCTGAGCGAATAAGTAAATTCGGCATTGGGCAGGACACGTTGCAGAACCAACCGTCGCTGGACCAGAGAAACATTAGACGTGGCTCCGAAAGACAGTAAATGGCACCTCAACAAGCCAGTGAATTTCGTTGAATCAAAATAGATGCAAATCTTAGAAAACAGAAGTTTTTGGCAAAGTCTTGGAAAAGCCTTTATCTAGCGGTAGATTGAGAAGCAAGCTGGTGATAATGTTTTTTGTTCATTGTATTAGGTTATTACTGGTTATTATTTTATTTTGTTGTGTGAGTTAGCTTTTGTAATTGAAGGTAGCATTTTCGTCATTTTGTGATTCAACATAATGCATTCAGTGGTTGTGTAT